AAAATTTTTATTCTTTGAATGTTTTAGTAGTAGTAGAGATTTCATTATTTTTGTAAAATGAAACATTACGTTTTGCAATACAAGTGATTACATCCTTACTTAAGCCTCGTGTTTTACTTATACCAGATTTTCGTAAGACAACTTGTGATATTCTTTCTTTCTAGGTGATTGTGAGTGGTGCTTTTGTGGCTCTCTATACAACCCTCAGTATATGTGGATACTCTTTTATTTTCTTATACGCCTGCTCAGTATGTTCTCAAGAGAACTCTAGTATGACTGAGTAGTCACAACAGCCATGTTCTTTTTTTATTTAAGCATGTAGTCCAGTGATTATTTATTGTTATTGAAACATAATTGATTATACATATCTGTGGGGAACCTCATTGAATATCAATACCTAGTCGCAATATTTGATGCTCAAATCAGGATAATTAGTATATTCAACATTATACAATGTAATCATTTTTTGTGGCCCTTTACCCATTTCTTGCTAATCCTTCCTCCCTCTACTACTTTCCCACCTCTGAGAACAGCCATGTCCTTTTCTTTTTAAAAAAATTCCATCTGCAGAAGGAATCAAGCTAATCTACAGCCGACATTTGGAAACTATGAGTCTAAGCAGTTGTACAGAGTGATGACATCATAAAGATGCATTTATGATGAATATCATATGCATCATGTAACACCGATTATGTAACATCAATAAAAGTTCTTTTTTAGGACAAATTGCTTTTCAAGGCATCTATGAAGCAACTAGCATTTCTACACACTAAGTATTTCACTGATTTATGCCAGGTACAGTGAAACTTGGATTAAAAAGTCTAACAAGCAGTTTTGCTGCCAAGGCAGAAACACTTAAGGCCAATTAGAATAGAAAAAAGATGATTCCTAAGGAAACCCCTCCAGATATCCACTCTGCATCACGCAGTGGGGCCATGTGTGGGTTTGTCCCTGCAGTGATGGACTCACTCAAAATGACAGCGTTTATTATCACTGTGATAATAAAACCATGACCCAGGAAGCACTAGGCAGGACCAGCTACATAATTTGGGACCTAGTGCAAAATGAAAATTCAGGGCTCCATGTTAAAAAATTATTAGGAATTTCAAGATGAGAAGAGAGCACTAAACCAAGCACAGGCCCTGGACCCACTGCACAGCCTCACCCCATGACACTGGCCCCAGGGTTCCAATAGGATTGCCAGATAAAAGGAAGGACACCCAGTAAATATCTGGACACTCAAATATTGCATGAGACACACACTAAAAAAAAATATATATATATTTTTTGGGCCTTTTTGAGACCGGCCGCACTGCGCTCAGCCAGTGAGCGCACCGGTCATCCCTACATAGGATCCGAACCCACGGCAGGAGCGCCGCCACGCTCCCAGCGCCACACTCTCCCGAGTGCGCCACGGGCTCGGCTGCCGGGCCTCCCTGAGCCAGAGGCCGACAAAACCGAGCGGGAAGAGACCCCGGTCCAGCCGGGGGTCCCTTGTGGGGCTGAGCGGGATGATGAGTGTCGCTGG